TCCATGAAGTTCTCTACACACTGTTCTTGAGCTAATCTGAAGGCCACACAAAGTTTGGAGGTCTGTAGCTATTGACAGTTGGCGACTTCTGCACACTTTGCCTCAGCTTACGTCATGCCTGCTTTGTGATTATACGTGGACTACCAATTTGTGGCTGAGTTGCTGTTGTTCCCAATTGCTTCCACTTTGTCATAATACCACTAACAGTAGACCGTGGAATATTTAGAAGAGAGGAAATTTCACAAATGGACTTATTGCACTGGTGGCATCCTATCACGGTACCACGATTGAATTCACTGAGCTCCTGATAGCGACCCATTGTTTGTAGAAGCAGTCTGCATGCCTAGGCGCTTCATTTTATACACGTGTGGCTATGGAAGTGAACACCTGAATTCAATTATTTGGAGAGGTATCCCTATACTTATATAGTATATATATACCAATATAGTGTATATAATGTAATATCTGCAATGACATGCATGTATAGCATTTTAGTCAAGTTGAATTTGCTCACTGTTTTAGATATGAAGTAATAGTAGTGAGTGTGTATGTATGTATAAAGCATGGTGCACATGCTAAAGGACATATAGTTTATAGTTGTCTATGGCTAACTATGCATTAATGGGTGGCTCTGTGGATGTCGTCTTGTAAGATGCTGTTGCATTGCAATTTTGCTTTTGTGATAAGTTCTGTATGCAAACTGCATTTTCATTTACTTTTAATGTGAAGTACTCTGACCTAACTAAGACTTTCCCTCTATTTTTATTTGGACCCTGATCCCTTATGCTCCTTCTTCCCTCTGCCATATTGCTAAGTAATTAAACCCAGTAACCCAAGTTTTAATTGATGCTTTTGAAAAATTGAGCAGTCGAGTTTATTCAAGTTATGACTGCTATACAGTATATAGCTGTGTTTTAGATATGACGTAATAGCAGTGGTGCACTGATAACCATGAAAACCAGGCTGGGGATGAACTTGCCAGCAGTGAACCTTGCAGAGATTGCCCACTGAGATTAGTGAAACAGTGGAAAGATCAATCTGCAAGCCAGATTTAACAATGAATTAAAAGTTACTGGTTTGGAGTTGCAGGTTAGGAATTTGGTCTCATTCCACCCTATTTTCTATTGCTAAATTAGTTCAGGTGGGCTGGTACTTTATGACCTATCCTGAACTGAACTTTGGCATTCGGATCGTACAACAAGGAGTACACAGCTGAATGAAATTGTTTCTCTAGGCTCAATGTACAAACATAGACACAATACAAGTGCATGCTATACAACAGCAAATAAACATAATGGACAGCATAGACAGACACGTTCATGTATAGTCCAATAGAGGCTGAAATAAAAAATAATAGTCCCCATCATAAGAATATTGCATGTTATATTTCACGTAGTTGCATTATTGCACAGTGTGACAAAAAATAAAAACCTTGGTGAATGATGTTAAAGTAACAAGAAACATTCTAGCAAAGCACAGAAATAGCAGCAATTTAAGAGAGATGAGTTCTTGTGTGTGTGTGTTTGTGTGTGTGTGTGTGTGTGTGTGTGTGTGTGTGTTCAGGGATTCAGCAGTCACAACAGGTCAGCATGTTGTGTGCTGGTTGATGGAGTTCAGTAATTTGATGGTCTGTGGGAAGAAACTCCTACTGAGTCAGGCAGTCTTGCTCCGCGTTCTAAATGGTGAATAAGCCAACAAAATCCCTTGTCTGTCACTATGGAAAATGGCTGATCAAATTTAAATATCGGGCCACTATATATCTATACTATGCATGTGTACTTGTAAGACCCTTTAAGTGGATGTTAATTTAATTAATAATCTGATTATTTACTTACTACTCTTGTGAAGTGAAGGATTGCACCGCCTTGATGATCCCTGTTTTATCAGTGTTTGTGTCTTAAAGTATTTCATCATCAATTCAGTGGAACTTACTTTTCAGGTGATGGTTGTTCCAGGTTCCTCTGTCATAAACATACCAACCCTACCCTCTTTATTTTCCCCACAATAGCAGTGCCGTTCCCTCCCCACCAACGACTCTCCATGAAGGAGCTGTTTGAAGATGGCAAGCCCAAGGTGGAACTACTGAAGAACCACCTTGTGAAGGAGGGCCGCCTGGAGGAGGAGGTGGCACTGCGCATCATCAACGACGGTGCCAAAATCCTGCGCCAGGAGAAGTGCATGCTAGAGGTGGAGGCACCCATCACAGGTACCATTCCCCCTTGGTGGACCAAAGGATCTCTTACTTTAGTTCATTCAGATGAACACAAGGTATTCAAGGCCACCTGATGCTTTTCTCAGGTGTGCTGTAAATATTTCCCATTCAACAACAAACCAAACTCTGTCAATGGTCCTGAAAAGGCAGCCATTATTTGGTTCATATAAGCAACCTTGGGGGATGCATCTTTTTTTTCTTCTTCATACACTAAGTTCACATGTCAGGCAGCTGATGAATACTATGTTGCTGTTAAATTTTTAGAATGCCATGGTCGTGTAACAAGTAATGGACATGCAGTATTATTCTGCAGTCACAGCACATCTCTGACTCCTGATAATCTCAGAGTTTTCCTATTTCTTATTGTGAAATGTTCCTGTTCAGTACATAGAGCACTTTAAAGTCAGTAGTCTTGGTGTGTTCAGTGCATTTCAAAATAAATGTAATCTAAACTGATATGTGTTTTGTGCAAAGCAAGAAAGCTATAGCTAGAATTCTTTCTCTTTGTATACTGACTAATTGTACTCTAGGCATCATCAGTTTAATCGTGTTAGATTAAAATTTTCTTCTTTTTAAGTATTATACACCAAATAGTTCTTAAAAGTTTGTAATATTCCCAGCATTGTAAGGTGCATGTGTTGTGAGTAATAACTTGAGGATTTATAAGTTAGACGCTATGATGCTTATGCTTGAGCATTAAGTGAAAGGTAAAAGCTCACGGTAGAGCTGTGTGCACTACCTTCTGCCCATGATGTACCAAAATGCTGCTCTTTAATATAGAGAAGCAGTGTGCTTAAAATGCGCAGATTTTTGAGGAGCCATGCTACTGTTGGACCTTAGAATCTGCCTCTACATGTATAGAAGCATGTGGAGAGGGAATGTACAAGAGGCCAACTGTTTCGGTACAGCTTCATTAATGCTGTCCAAATGTTGGTGTAGGCGTTCATTTTCCTAGCACTACAGCTATCGCCCATGAACTGCTCGATTGTAAAATGAATGTAATCCCTGGCCAAGGCCAGAGCTGACTTGAATGTTCAAAGGGAAGTGTACTTTATGAATTCATTTTGACCGAGGAGTTACTTTTAATGATGAGTTTTATTGAGTGTCGTTTCAGATGCCGCAAGGTTATGATTATAACCTGTCCCTAATAGTAAAACCGGATTGCGTTTGCTGGAAAAAAAACTTAGACTGTTCTGCCAAAAGCTTTCCAAAGTTAGATTTTAACTGCATTCTCTGGCTTGCTTGTTTGCTTATTTGTTTGTTTGTTTGTTTGTTTATTTATTTGCTTGCTTACTTATTTATGTGATGACTCGTGTTTTGGACTCAAGACCAGGTCTGTATTCTGTGGTGCTGTCCATTAGGACAAAGGACAAATAGCTAACAAAATGACTTGGTCGTCCTCCATTATTTTGGGTTGATGGTATAGTTTCGTATGAAATTACATGTAAAGTTTAACTTATTGCATTTTCCATGCTTATTTAGCATATAGGTCACTGTTCCGGTTGTGGCCAGGAACTACAAAAGTTCCTAGTCAAGAATCCCCTGGAACTCAAAACCGGGAACTAGGTTCCTGAGCTTCGTTGGGAAAGTGCCTGTTATCAGAAACGGAAAAGTGTTTTCTGCTTTTCTTTTTCTTATCTGTCTAGTTTGTAATTTATATATGTATATAGTTGTGCAGTATATACAAAAGGTTTGGAATTTAGGGGTTTATTACATCCTATTTCCATTACCTAATTAGTTCAGATATTGCATGAATTATACAGTTCTTTGTGAAATTATGTGGAGGACTGTGGGGAAAAAAAAATGTCATAACTGGCTAATTAGAGGTGTCAGCTGGGCGGTGCAATACAGTTACAAATTTTGTTTAATTTACTTAGATTTGTTCTCGTGTTGCGCCCCATACCCTTTGTCTCTGCTGACAGTGTGTGGTGATGTTCACGGACAGTTCTTCGACTTGATGAAGCTCTTTGAGGTCGGGGGTTCACCAAACAACACGCGTTACCTCTTTCTGGGAGACTATGTGGACCGAGGATACTTCAGCATTGAGGTGAGTGCCTCGGGGCTTCCTTCAGAGTGCCTCGGGGCTTCCTTCAGAGTGCTTCCTTCAGAGTGCCTCGGGGCTTCCTTCAGAGTGCTTCCTTCAGAGTGCCTCGGCTTCCTTCAGAGTGCTTCCTTCAGAGTGCCTCGGGGCTTCCTTCAGAGTGCCTTGCCATTTTCAGCTGACTCCCAGCTTTCCCTTCGTGTTCCATTGGTCTCGCAGAGGGTGTTGTAATAGATGTATCTTCTACTTGTGTCTCACTTACACAGCCTGTGTAAGAGCATGCCATCACAGGCTGTACTTTACTCACCCTGTAACAGGATGAATAGTGTCCACTTTAACACTTGAGATTCTGTCATAAAAGACAACGGAGCAGTAAAATATCAAATTAGTGTCCAGGTTGCTGTGCATGTGAAATAATGATTTGGCAGATCGTGTGATGCTGGCAGACGGATTGCTGAGATGTAGGAGGGAGATTGTTGGATCACACTCTAACATAGGCCGGGGTTCCAATTCTGCTCTGCTACTTTGGCAGGGGCTTTGGGCTAATAGGTCTTGTTCCCCTATTACGTCCTTGTTCCTCACTCTCTTTCCTACTAGTTTTCAGGAATTTCCCTACTCTTCTTGTAACTGGTTTGTCTTACTGATACATGAAGTGTTTTTTTCTAATTGTTTAATTTGTGAGAAAAGGATCAGATAATACATTCTTCTGTTGATTGATCCCTAGCACTATGGCACAGTTTTCCACATTCCTCTATTCAGTTGGTAACTCTGAGGAATTCCTGACAGCCTCTTTGGGTGCAGCAGCTGATTGGCTGGTTGTGTGGTCGGACAGTCGAGCAGCTGCTGATTGGCTCATTTGGGGTATGTGTCTCAAACAATGCCTTTCAGTTTTAGACACTATAAAAATGACACACCCTGCAATTACAGTCACATTCATTATTTTTTCATGTGGTACTTGCCATCAGTCTCACTGAAAATTATTTCAGGGTTTTGTGCTGTTATACTGGATAATGGGCAGCTTTACTGAACAGCTTAGTGCTTTTATACTGGTTTTAGTTACTTTTTCTGGCTTTGAAAGGACTTACTGAAAGAGAGGCAGTGTTTAGAAATTGCTGATTATCTTTGCTGCAGTCAGACATGTGGTGCTACAATCAATACAATTAATAAGGTACATTAGTGGAGATTTTATTTCACGATGACTAGGGACTCCTTGCTTTAACAATTTTATCACTCTTCACTGAATTCTATGGTTAGTTTGCTGTTGGGCCATACTGATTTCGGAAAAAAAACACGTTAGATTGTTGACCTGAGTGGTTTGCTGAGGAGCTCAAACAGGCCTGGTGGGGTGGCTGGGACATGCCCCATTCTAAAGGTATGGGTTTCTAAAGCCTGTGTTCAGAGCCAGGCTTTCTGATGGGTATCCAGCCAAATGTCAGAGACAAAAGCAATTGGGGTAAATGGATGAAGCACCATGCATGAGTAGAACTCTGTGAGCATCTCTTTCCCTGCTCCCACAAGCAGCCTGCATTTTCAGGTGTGTGTGTGTGTACGTGTATGTGTGTGTACGTATGTGTGCGTGTGTGTATGTGTGCGTGTGTGTGTGTGTACGTGTACGTGTGCGTACGCTGCTTGACTTTCATATATGATCTTTGGTCATTCAGGGCTCTCAAGCAGAAACTGGGACTAGCTACAATAGTTGGCTTTCCATCACCAATGATATATCTTTGCAGTCTGATGTCCACCTGTGACGATTGTGACTGTTTATTATAGATGGAATACGACCATTGTCCTCTGCCGACTGATATCATTTGATATGTAATTGACCAATGAAAATATGTTTTATGAAAGCATCTATTTAACTAATATCTCCATTGGATGTCAGAAGTATCCATCAAAACTGCATATCTCCCTCCCCCGTGTTTTGAGGAGTGTCAGCTACGGTTAGATGATTCTGGGTGAAATATGAATTGCAAAATTTTCCCCCCATAATAATACTGATTGTGATTTTCTCATCTGCTCACCTGGACACATTTACCAGAATACTGACAGATGATTTTGTGTGTGGTTAGGTGCAAGTGTATGACCTCATCCCCAGCTCAGCAAGTGCGTGTCGTGATCCCCTTCTGACTGTTTGTGCTTGTACTGATATCCCCTCATATGCACAAGTGTCTGCTTATCCCTTCACTCCCTGGATAGACTGCCCCTTTTTTCAAAATTGTCATCCGTCCTCTACATAGATTCTCATTTAGTGTTTTGAGTACCTGCTTGGTTTGCATTTGGGTCCCCTGTTCCTGATCTGTCCATTCCATATTCAAGCTCACCAAGTTTAACTGCCAGCAAGGGGGCAGATTTGACATTGCTAATAGTTGCCATCCACCTCAGATTGAAGAATAAAACAGTGTTGCCATTTTGAACCAATATGGGACACGACTGAAAGTTGCAACACTAACTGCTGGTGTCTGTAACTGTAAGTACTTGCATTCTGTATTTTCTACTGGATGGCAGTGCTTCAAGTGGTGACATTTGTAGTAAAGTATTTCCAGTTTTAGTTGGTTACTAGTTTTTGGGAAAGATTACAATACACAGCACCAGTCTGTTGCGTGTCGTAGGCGTCACATTGTCAATGTCTTTTTGTCTAGTTTATCTGCAATATCCCCTTTTTCAAGTTTCCTCTGATGGAGAGCTTTTCTCTCCCGTGAATCATGGACATTACCAGAACAGCAGTATGAGGAGTGCTTTGCTGAGTTGGTAAACTTTGCTGTACGTTTGTTGTGCATAAGTCCATTCTCAAAACACTGTGATTGGCAGCAGGCCAGGTTATTTTAGTTAGTGCTGACAGAACACCATAGTGCACATTCTTCCTAGCTTTTCTCAATTCTCTGTGGATTATGCTGTGTGGATTTCTCATGAACTGCATTTTACAATGGACTTACATATTGGATTTTGCTGGATTACCCTTATTGGACAGGTTTGCTTTGGACTTGCCTGCTCCCCTGGTGAGTTGCATTGTTATTTTGAGTGTGTTGTCTTTCGTATCCATGCCTGCCCTACTGCATTCTCTGTGTTTTTGTGGCTGTGTCTGCGCTTGTGTTCAGTTGCAGGGCCTTGCAGACAGTCACAGAGAAAGTAATGTCATTTCCGGTCGAACTTTCATCTAACACCGGTCATATTGATATTGAGGAAAACTATCTCGGTAATTGTCGTTATTTTATCGCCTGCCCTAACACCTGATTTTCTGACCCCTCTTCCTATAACATGATGCAATACAGTCCTGTGATGTATTGGTACTGCTTAGGGAGAAATAGGGAGTGTTTGGTTTGATGCAACTGATCTACTCGCTAATGCAGACATGGCGGAACTTTGTGTAAGAATGAGATTACATAGGAATCAAGATCATGATTCAACTCTTGAATGAGATTTCATGGTGGTGTCACTGGTGTGAATGGAGACTGAGATTCAAAAACAGTTAGTTGTGCAGCACTAGGGTCAACTATTTAGCCTCAGCTGATAGCTGTCACTCAAACCAAAAGAAAGTTTGCACTGCAGTTTGAGTGGAATATCACTGTCATGGTAAAGTAACACCATGCACTTCTTGTTTGAAGATGGTATTTGTTTGTACTAGTAAACATTTGCATTCAAGATTGTCGTGTATGGATTGCATTGTATCTCTAGCAACTTTAACGCTGATAGCTAGATAAAATTAAATAGAAAGATAAAGCTCTGATTATGTCCTAACATTTAGACTAGCTGTCCATATTACTGAAATATAGTCAGCGGAAAAAGGAGATTCAGACTAACAGTGCACCATTGGAAAGCATGATATGAAAACCATGTAAGTCCACGTTCATTGACAACAGTGAAGAGGCGTCTGTTTGTGGTGCTAAAGGTGTCTCGTTACATTGTTTTAGGTTTATTTTGTTAAATAGTTTCAGAGAATTTTTTCTAACACTCCTGAAATACTGGATTTTTGGAAATCCCATGTTTTTTATTGGCTAGCGACTATAAATTCAGGTCTAAAATTTTAAAATTTAAATACTGAGTAGGATGAGCATGATGCAAGTAAATATGTACAGCAAGCCTGTGTTTTGAGAAGTCATCGGTGTTGCTGACCCAATGGAAATGACACACTTTGAAGCTTTATAAAGGTGCAACCCCTATAATGGCCTTAAAATAAGCAATCACTTGTTAGTCTTCATCAGGGCAAGCTGCTTCACTTTATGTGCCGCCCATAAAAATAGCTACAATTAGGCTAATAGCATGATGTAAGTGGTCAATCGGGTCTTTGGCTGGGCAGCTCAGGATCCCTGGAGCGAGCAGCAGGAGGCGAAAGCAGCTTTAATAACAAAGCAGGGAGTTCGTGCACCACACGGCTCTATTGATCAAGGCACTGTTTCAAATCCTGCGGCCCCGCGTTTACAATGAGCCTCTCTTCATTTACATGAGCATGATGTATCAGGGAGAGCCAAATCAACTTTAACGAGCTTAAGTGCTAGCTCCGTGACGGGACGAGAAATTGATTTCTGCCATTCTAATCGGATAACCATTTTATGCTAGTAATTTGTTTATGCTAATTTGACCCAGGCAATCTATCAGCACCCCTGCTTGACCCCCTTCCTACTGTTATTGCTCGCCAACCCTTTGATCTACCTGAACATGTTTTCATACCTCGACTCATGGCGGCATTTTAAATGTTTTCTGAGGAGCTGTATCTATCGTTTTCACCTCTCATTTTTCCTTCTATGTATATATTTTTTTCCCCATTGTGCTATCGGTACAGAAAAGACAAGACGCATGATGGGGCGTTTTTGGGATCTGGCTAAGAATCAGAGTGGCACAGTGACAGTGTAATACTCTATTCATCTGTTTTAGCTCAGTAGTTTAGAAGAGGCGTCTGTAACTGCAAGCTTAATATCAGGTCTTACCTGCCAGCAAAGTGCCAGTGCTAGTCATCCCTCGCCATTCCTTCCTACCTTTGTCTGCTTTTCACTGGATCGCTCTGTCTGCGCATGTTTATGGTCTTTTCAGTTTTGTATAGCCCTCATGGATTGTGGCTCACTTCTAGCCTGCAGTAGCCCCCCTCCCTTCTTTCATATGTACCAGAAACCTTAAGGGAATGGGAGTGTCGTCTCCTCCCAGCCAGGCTCTTGTAATCCAGCAGACTGTTAGCTGTGTGATCTGTTGCCAGTTTAGTTGGCTGCTATGGAAAGGTGAAGGGGGAGAAATGATTATTAAGGAATCCCTGTGTTTGTCCCGCACCTTAATCTTTATGTTAGACCCCTGATTACCGAGTCGGCTGCTCCTCCCCTTTTCGTTTCAATCGACTCCAATATTTAGCACAAGTTGTGATATTTACAGATCCGCTCTCATGGTTTATGTGTGTGATGTTATGTTTTGTAAACCTTTGTCTCTTCTTCTTCTCATGCAGTGTGTGTTGTTCCTTTGGACCCTCAAGATCAACCACCCGACAACACTCTTTCTCCTCAGAGGCAACCATGAGTGTCGGCATCTCACAGAATATTTCACCTTCAAACAGGAGTGTAAGAGCAGCTTCCCGAGTTGGTGTGAATTTGTCACTGCATGCAGTGGGTTGTAAACTCAACAAAGCTTTGTACGTTAGTAAGCGTCCATCATCCTGTTCACTGTCATGTTTCTTTGCAAGCTCTATATGATATATTGCGATATATTGGTAGGATAGAGGTATTGGCGCATCCAAAACAAATGAGGCCCTTAGGATTTATGTCTTGCTGTCAATTGGTGTAAAGTACAGTTTCCTGCTTAATGCTGGTGTCCAACCATGTAGGAATCTTTCCTCAGCAGAGAGGAGAGCCGGCATGATTGGGGGTTGGGGTGGTATCAGCAGTAGGTATTGTGATATGGGTGTCAAAACTGCTTCAGATACATTTGAATATCTGAACTACATACACTGAAGAAACTAAATATAGTATGTTGAATCACATATCAAGACCCCCAATCCAAACTTATTGAATTGTCACTTAAATAAGATGTGAGCCAATGTATATCAGCATTACAGTGTGCTTTGTCAACTGCAGAGATGCTTCAGGAACAGGGTCTCATCGATCTTTGTGAAATTTAGTTTCTTTGTTGAGAGCTGGGGTTTGTAATAGAAAGCCAACTGGGCTAGTCTGTATGTATGATTTGAAATGTAGTGCTTGGAAGATGAGCAAATATAGATGTGTCTGAAGTGCACTATTATGCGTGTAACAAGGTCTGAAGTGAATCGTAAGGGAGTGATCACGCAGGTGTGGAACATTAGTATGCAAACTCAAGTAGAACTACATCAGTTTGCTTGTTCTGATGTTAGTTAATAGGATACAAAGAGTAAATGAAGTGAAATGAGCATGGACTCCCTTGCAGCTATGGCATTTTATGCAAATATGTTTGTAATCAAATTCCTCATTAGCATGCATAAAAGCCTATTAACTAAAAGCAATGATCCAGCCACACATTATGTAGAATAATTCGGTTGAGCTGTGAAGTTCCATCTGAAACACATGCAAGCTTTTAAATATGGCTGCCAGCATGGGAATCGTACTTTTTTTCTCATTAATGAGTTTGGAGATTTAGTGGGAGGAGGGGAAACTGGGGCAATTTGGATAGCGCTTACCAAATATTAGCAGACATAGGAACGGATGGTAATCTGGTATGAAAATGTTCTGTTGTTTTGGGTAGGTTCCAGTTTCATCGATACTTGTTCAATATATTTGCCAAATGAGAAATTACAAGTTATACTGCCGGTTGCTTGGGTGTGGGGTGGCGGTGAAAACCAACTTCTGTTATTCTAGTATTGGGTTGTTATGATGATTGGTGTCCCAAAAAAATGTGTAAATGTGTGTGTGTGTGTTACTCAAAAGTAAATTTGAACCACAGCTTACATTTCAAGATGGCACTGCTCTGTTCTTGGTTGCCTCTATTAATATGGCACACTAATTTCCAGGGAATTATTAAGTAATTGTACAATTTAGCCAAATAAGGGCACAATTCCCTCGAGCACTACTTTGAATATGTACCAAGGTTTTACTCAGCATAGGATTGGGTATGTGTATAATGACTGAAATATGTCTTTTATAACTAAGTTTCTGCACACCTGTCTACACACCTGTTTCCTGTTTCGGCACACCTGACTACACACCTGTTTCTAGTTTCTACACACCTGTTCTAGTTTCTGCACACCTGTCTACACACCTGTTCTAGTTTCTACACACCTGTTCTAGTTTCTGCACACCTGTCTACACACCTGTTCTAGTTTCT